TTTGAAATTGCAGTTCCTGGACTGGACAATCAACTTTTTTCATTACTTGACACTGATCCTACAGTTGATGGAGTAAGGGATATTGTTAAAAGTTGGTTGAATCAAACAGCACTTGACAGCCCATCCACCTGGGTAGAGTTGTGTCGTAAGGTGATGTCAAAAACTGGGTCAGTTGCGAGCGCTGGAGCACCGATTGAACCACCTTCGTTGGATCTCATTGATGGAGACATTGATGGCGGAGATGAGGAAGGCGAAGACTTTGTTGTTGATAAGTCTACCGAAGATGCTACTCAAAGGTCCGATGGTATGCGGAAGAATAAGCAAATGTCACGGGATTCTATACAGATTCCTCCCCGTTGGAGGACACAACTGTTTGCTCTTCAATGCTTGCGTCAAGTAGTTGAAGTTATTTATCTGAGCGGGAATAAAGAACATTTTGACCTTGTTACTGCCAAGAGAGGTAAACAATCGGGGAAAGATTATTTGGTATTAAGAGTTGCAGATTTGATTAAGATGGCATTTATTGCCTCGACCGCTGTTGTGGGAGAAATGAGATTGGAGGGGTTAACTGTATTAAGAGATGTAATTGAGGTTCGCATCACCGCATCACCGCATTATTACATGAATTTTTTATAGTAAATCTTTTAAAATACGTACATATATATACAAATATATATATCGCTTTATCTTAGAAATTCGCGGCCACTCCCGATCCTGACTTCGAAGAAGCCGCACTTTTAGAGCAATATCAGGTAACGATTGTTCACTTGTATTTACTTTTTCTATTTCCTTATAAAATTGAAAATCCTCCTGGCGTTGTTAGGCACAAATTGGTGCTGCCTTGACTCCAGCCTTTACTGCCGAATCATCACCGGAAATTCTTTCAGCCGCTGTAAGAGTCTGCGCCGTGTTTGTTGGAAGTGGGATTGTCAAGGAATTATATCGAATGGGTCGCATATTGAAACTTTTAACTACTGCTCTGGAAAATTGTCGAGGTATCAATACTATGTGAATTATATAATTGTTAAAAAGAGAAATGAAATAATTTTAATGCAGACATAAATTAGATAATTTAAATGTGACTGAAGTCGGAGACGTGAAAGATTTCAGCCCTCATGCTGCGATAATGGTA